TGCAAGCCACCGTAATGCCGGTCGCCCTCGACGAAACTAGCGGCTAAATACAGGAATGGCTCCGACCTGTAATTGGATGATAAAAATAGTAATTGGTTAACAAGTTAATGTTTGACTCGAGATGACAATTTTCACCTCACATGATCTCTCCAACGTTTCGTGTATTTATTTTTAGCTTTAAGCCGCTCGCGTTGCTCTTTTGTTCTGTTCATTGGCGCCAAAATCGTGATAATCGTTGACATGTGCATAAAGAATCTAAAAGCAATAAGGTAGGCAAATTCATCTACTTACATCGCGAGAAATGAATTGTTTGCGTGGATAAGGCGACAGAATCGTCTCCATTCGTTTCAAACATAACTTAGACTCGGAGCGATTCCTGTATTTAACCGCTGTACAGGAATAGCTCCCATCGCTGATTGGCCGTCACGTTTTTCTTAAACTGAACACTGGGCTTTCTTCTGTTTCTTTAAGAGATCCACCTCAGGACAGCAAAACAAAGTTATAGTCGATTGACAAACTATAATAAGCCCGTTTTGCTTCTCTCTTTAGCAAAATATGAGATTGAGAATAGCCATTCCTGTATTTAGCCGCTAGTGTCGACGAAATGTCAAACGGGGGCAAAATCTTTCGGAGATGGAAGTCAGGACATTTGCAAGGATACAGAAAGTAATTTGGAACCAGTAACTCGCTTCTAAAGCTGAACTTATCCAGAAGTAAGCTGTATTTTCGTTTTCGTGCCGAATGCCATGCGATGAAATATTATCGGCTTGTTCTGCTGTCTTGTTCTGTTTTTTCTCTTGGTCTTTTTTGTAGCCCGCCGAGGCCAGTCTTTCATCTAAATCAGTTGAAAAAAGTTCGAAAAAGGTGTTCCCATTCAAGTTTAAGCTCTTAGGCGATAATTCTGGAGTTTCTTGTCCGAAACGTCGGCTTTGTTATGTTCGTGTTTTTCGGTTGCTATGGGCGACCGTGGCTTCCTTTGTTAGGTCAAGTCTGGGGAGTGAGGTCACAAAAAA